TTCTAAATTATTCACTTTCTACGAATCAAATGGAGCCTTAAGAAAATATTTTCTTAAAAATGATCGCTTATATCACTTTAAATAATTAGTTCATGATAACTATTTTTATCATCAACAGTAATTATGTCAAAATATTTTCGTGAATGATAACAATATTTTCCGTGATACAAATAGAGTCTCATGGGTTTTTGGTTTCTTTTTCTTTTGGCAAATGCTTTTCTTGATCTTCTTTCTTTTATAGGAAAAAGGCAAGCCGAGGTTGTGCATCCCAACCAAGGCCAAATCTAGCCTAGAGTTGGGTGACCCCAAAAATCATCGATAGCTGGGGTCACACGCTCCTAGGCGTCGCCTGCAGCCCTAAACTAGATCTCTGGCCAAATCGGGATCCTTCGCTAGATTTGGCTCTTAGTTGGGTCGCACAACGAGCGGCAAGGGCTCGCTAGCCTTGGCCGGCGTACAAAAAAGAAAATTATGCTATATTTAATAGGCTTATATATATATAGCTTAAACATCTTGATAGTAAACTATGTCTTTACTTAGTAACTCTACTACTATTAGGGAAAGTAATTTTATATTTTTCCCTAAATTTGAAGGGGCATATAGTAGTCAACTCCAATTATCATATAGAAGAATTTAAATCTCCTGAAAATTGATTGTTTTTTGGGTAGGTAGAACTGGTTTGGTAAACATCTGTCCCTCCTCTTGATTACAGATTCAGTATGCAACTGCAGAGTGAGTGATTTCATCACAAGAACGATGGGTCACTCAGTTAAGGACTCGGAAGTCGACCCTTTAGATTCTATTATTCCATAAATCTATATTTTAGCTATGATTTGAAATTTTTTCTGCAAAGGATAAGGTTTATTTGGTGACCAAAACCAAGAAGATTGCACATGCTACATCGATTAAAATAATGGGAAAGTTGGCGTGTTCTAGTGTAAAGATCATGGTACTTTCTTGTAGCTTGCCCTAACCATTTTGGTCATTTGATTACCTGCACAGCCTAATAAACAATTGTTCAACTTGAATTCTCTGACATAGAACTATTTATAAAATATGAACTAGTTAGAACCTGTTTTTTCTCGGTGAAATATATGTTTTTATGACAAAAATGTATGATTTTTTTTTTCATTTCTCTGGGAAAATCGCGATAAATTAATCTTTCTTAGAGTTGAGTTTCTTCTATAGGTAGTAAATTGATAATTCAAAAAAGATATTATACCATTAAAAATCTCAAATCGGTATGTCCGCTCTAAATTAATTTTCGCCTTGCTAAAAATTTCAGATTATTATATCTGTGGTAATTTTTTTTAATATTTTCGCAAACCTTAATTCCTACCAAAATCTAAATGCCTATTCAAAGAGAACTACAAGAAAAGGACAAATGGGCGGTGTCGGCCACTCCAGCTAACGCTGTTGCGGGGAACATGGGCCGGAAATTATTTAACGGCGTAGGTGTCGGCTGTGATTAGGGACGAAAATTTACATGAATTTCAACGTCCACGCATTTCTAGCAAAGCTGCTCAAAAAGTGGGGACTGACAACGACGAAAGCGGTTTTGTCATGAAGACCCATTTAATAAAATAATTCGAAATAAACCATCTATTTAGTTTCCAAAAATCCGCAATTATGACTAAACTATCTGCAATATTGTCACACTAGTTCATCTTCATTTCATCCTTAATAACATCATCATTGGATCATTGAAAAGCTACCCAAATCATTTGGAACACTAGAACAACTCGTGGAGCCTCCAAGAGGTTGGCTGCGTTGGTAAGGGTGTAGGACTTGGGGTCCCAGGTCCCAAGCTCGAGTCCCCTCTGCTGCGTAACCTTATCATACTCTTGACTTACATGGAGGCTAGTTTGTGGGGTCAGATTAGCTCTCCTCCGGTTGGTGCCTGGTCGGTTGGACCCTTGTAGTGCGGCCGGTGCGGGAGTCCGGATTATCAAAAAAAAAAAAAAAAAAAAAGAACAACTCGTGGCACTTTCAATGGAGTATATGGACACAAGTGTCAAGGGTTGGTAGTTCCTTGAGCGCGTAATAGCCTGTGAGGCGCCTGGTGAATCGTTTACACCAGGCCAGCCCTCGTCCTATAATAGTTTCAAAGAACAATACGGTGAATAGCTTACTCATATCGGATCGTACTACTTCTAGCATAGTTCGAGCGTCTAGACCATCGAGTGATACACGCATAACACTTTAGACAATACAACTGGTTTCGACTTGCCATGGCCTCATTAAGAAAACGGCATTAGCTCTCGACCAGTTTGTGCACGAGAGTACGAGAGAATCACGGTCCATGACATGCTCCACCACTTAATTTTGCAATGTCCTCTTTGCGAGCTGTTTAGTCGCTTCCCTGCGTCGCTTCTTACCATCAACATTGCTTTTTCGGGGCTTACATGAGTGGTGGACGCTTGCCCAACAAAACAACTTCACTTCACTGGTGGCTTTTTTTTATCAGAGCCGTTCGGCACCTTCGGTTATTTGTGCTTTCCCTGACAAGTACTGCATCTTTTTGGCAGCACCATTCTTCGGCTACTTTGGTTTCTCATGATCTCAGTAGACCAATTGAAGTTTCTCCCATTGTTGATAACGTGGTAGTAGACTAATCTTGAGATTCACCAAATTGATTTAGGAATTTTTTTCCTATTTAGTGAGGAATCGGTTCTTTGTTGTGCCCTCCATTGTCATCCTAGAAGCAAGTCGAAGAGCCGCACTTTATCTGAGCACGTTTTCGTCCCAGTGATCAGTCTCCGCCCTCGTAGGACCGGGTAAACCATAGGTTTTTCTTCAACTCAACTCATCTACTAGAGGGATCCTGCTTTGATACCATCTATCGCGAGCCGGCGGTTCCTTGACCGCGGAATAGCCTATGCGGTGCCTAGTGGATTGTTCATACCAGGTTAGCCCTCGTTCTATAGTTGTTCAAAAGAATAATACGGTGAATAGCCTCCTCATATCGGGTTGTACCACATCTAGCATAACTTTGACGGCTAGTCCATTGAGCGATACACGCAGAACACTTTAAGCACCACAACTGGTTTCAGCTTGCCATTGCCTTATCAAGAGAGCGACATCATCTCCTGACCGGTTTGTGCACAGCAGACCAACCCCACTTTTAGAGCTCCTAAGCTTATATTCATTCAATCCCAGAACTCTTAACACCAACCGTCTTGACATCACTTCCACGAACCAGTTGTATTCATCCCTTTTGCATCTTCACTCTTCCCCTGATAACCTCAAGCTCCATTAATAAGGGTACGAGAGTACGAGAGAATCACGGTCCATGACACAAGAGAGGAACGGAGAATTGGTAATGAAGACCCATTTTGTCACAAGCAGTGAATGACACACAAGTTATATTTTTGGTGACTTGGACTCTTAACATTTTGTTTTTGAGAAATTACCGTAAAAAAACTCTAAATTATGCACTTGCGATACCAATATCCAAAATTTTTCAGTGTTATTGGAACCCCGAACTTGTACCGGTATGACAAACAACCCTTTGTCTACCACAAAAAAATCATAAACTTTGCTCATTGTAATGCCAAATACCTCACTTTTTTCACATGTCACCGTTACCCTAAACTTGTACCAATGCGATAATAATACAAGTTTGGTGGTTTGGCGGTTTGGCGATGTAAAATAAAATTTGAGCTATTGGCGTCACAACGGGCATGGTTTACTATTTTTGGTGATAATAACTGTTTTTCTTAATTTTCTTTTATTTTTTTCGTTTTATGGGAAGATCACAAGTGTGATGATAAATCGTTTTCTTTGGATGTTAATGGTTGTTTTTTGGGAGGACATTTTGCATGTATCGACCCATGTTGTTACAATCAACATCAAAACATTGAGGGTTCGATCCATGTGGTCTGGACCGGATCGTTATACTCCTCGACGGCCAAGACACAAATTCTAATTCGTTACAACAGAACCAACTGTTCAATTTATAATGGGTTAATACCACGAAAAACCCCAAACTGATACACCTGTGACAAATTTACCCCAAACTATTTTTTTGACCACAAAAAACCCTAAACCGGTACACCTGTGACAATTTTACCCCGAACTATTTTTTTGACCATAAAAAACCTCACACTGGTATACCTGTGACAATTTTACCCCCGAACTAATTTTTTGGCTACTAAAAACCCCAAACTGGTACACCTGTGACAAATTTACCCTCCATTAGTTTCCGTTAAATTTTACTGTCAAATTGCTAAGTTTAATGACACGTGGTAATTGACATGTGTACTGATTTTGGATTTTACCCCTCTGTTTGTCACAAGTTTACCAATTTGTGATTTTTTTTGATATTAATATAATTTAATGGACACTAACAGAGGGTAAATTTGTCATAAATGTATCAGTTTGGGGTTTTTAGTGGTCAAAAAATTAGTTCAGGGGTAAAATTGTCAGAGGTGTATCAGTGTGTGGTTTTTGGTGGTCAAAGAAATAGTTCGGGGTAAAATTGTCACAAGTGTACCAGTTTGGGATTTTTGGTGGTCAAAAAAATAGTTCGGGGTAAATTTATCACAGATATACCAGTTTGGGGGTTTTTGTGGTCAAAAAAATAGTTCAGGGTAAAATTATCACGGGTGTACCAGTTTAGGGTTTTTCGTGGTATTAACCCATTTATAATTCTTGAACTTTCGCAGTGCATCTCGCAGTGTCAATACGACCCCTCTCATGCTCTTTTGTTATGTGCTTATATGTCTTCTTCAATCACCAAATGACCTCACTTATGTTCTGTTCTGTTCTGCCAAGGAAGGCAATCCTTTGTAATTATGGCAAGAAATGGAAATGACCTCGTATAGCTTCGGCCCATGAAATGAAAAGCCCTCCTCATTCTTTGGTTTACTTGTTCATATACTATGAGCTAACATTTCATTTATGCAAAAACATTATCGTGTAAAAACTCATTCTACTAAATCAAACTCGTTCTACCGAGTCACGTCAATCTCGTAACAATTGTAAAATGGATGCCCGGGTTATGTACACTTAGAGGTTCTTATATCGATATAAAATGTACAGATAAAGAAATTTCATTGAGATAACATACTAAAAGAACGAGGGTCTGAAATTGAATTTTCTCCTCTATCAAACCCTGGCACCTAACCCTTCTTGAGAAGTGCAAAATACCCCAAAACGGCACAAACCACGGCCACGACTCTACCTTCCTTGAACGAGTTTTTGCAGATGAACCAGACGATCTCTTTGCTCGCCTTCCTGCCTTCGACGAGCAAAGTCCTTTGGGACTTCCCCGAGAAAGCCAGCCCGACCACGACCGTTATCCAAGCGACCGCAATGGCCGGCACAGCCACGGTGAGAGCGGCCGCGGTCGACAGCGCCCCAAACGCCGCCCCGAGAAGGACCGATGCCTCCAGAGCGGTCCACCGAGACGACGATTGCTGGCATCTATACCAAGAGAAGATGAGATTCTCCAAGTTCCACATACAGCACAGGAGAACGACGTTTACTGTCAGGAAGAGAAGCACCCATGTCCTCCTTCGGCTCATTACCCTCAGAAGGACCGTGCACGATGACGGCGACGACGGTTCCGGAGACGAAGATTCTTGTGCTTTGCCTTGAACGAGTTGCTTACAAGCTAGCTGTTTCATTGATCTGTACTGCAGTAGCTCTTTGGGTCTTGTGGGAACATGATGAAGGATCGATTCACACTTTATCTTTCTCGGGCGAAAAGGGCAAAGAGAAGTACAAAGAGAGAAGACTGCCGTGAAAGAAGATGATGAACTGACAATTGTGTGGAACAGAATGAAGGGACAAGTTCTTAGTGGCTGATAAGAGCGTGAGGGTTCCCATATGGTGCGATGTTGGTGCGGGTCAAAGGTTCTTTATTACCAAGAATAGTAGTACAGAATGACCTTGCTCGGAAGCTGCTCCATGGTGTTTGGTCTCACGTTTCTTTCTGTGGCCTTGGAAAGTCCGAAGGCCATCGCGTTTGACTTTCGAGACCGAATAATTCTCCTTCGAGATGGGATCATCACATGTTTATTTGCTGTGGGCGTTCGCGAGCTTGACTGAATGCATATCCAGTTCTTAAAGTCTAACCCCCTTCTAGATTGACGCAGCGCAAACGGTACGCACTTCCGCTTTCGAAAGCGAGGGATCTGGAAGCATGATCCTTACGATCGCCGGTTTTTCGGGACCACTCGCGAAAGGACCGCCCTCGAGAATCACAGGATTTGTGCAATTTTGTGATTGCTCGGTATAAGTCGAGACTGGAAAACTAGTGATGCAAACAATGGAACGACTTCTTAAAATTCGCAAGGACACGTGTATGCAAAATTTATCTATAAGATAGTCACAATTTGTGGGGGCCCTATATCAACATGTTTCTTTCCTTTTTTTTATTTTTTTTATTTAGTAGTTAGGTGGGGCTTGAATCAGGTTTCATGCACTCCGGTGGATTCACATCTCCATGCGGTTTGACGGGCATATTCCCCACAACACCTTGGTGCATTCAAGATTTTACTCTTGAAGTGCTTCCAATAAGGTCTGAAGACATAACGAGAGGAGCAAAACATTATTGTCATCTAGGCAAACACCAATACCTAACATGTTTCGCCATGAGCTACGGTGAATTGGGAAGGAAGCTTAATGCCAAAAGCAACCCACAAACGTTAAAGTTTTCAGCTTTGAGCTTTACTCTTTGAGCAACAATCTCTGTAATAGCAAAGATTGAACTTTTTCTGTGCTCATATTTTCTATTTTTTCAGGCAATCGAATCTTCACACATGTACCTATAGCTTATTAACAAAAAAGGACAAGAAAAACTTGCGTGCTATAAAAAAGTGGTTGCACCCATATAAAAAATGAAACTAAACCTATAAATGATTAAGATGAATTTTTGTGAATATATATATATACACCTATCCCGACCTGTCTGTTACGGTAATTGGCCATGTGACATGACCCATTTAACTGATGCTATCCTTAACCTATAAATGTCACCCGTCAGGATTGCACCACTAATCGTGGCTCGCGAAGGCCCGTGCGGGGCTGCCTAAATGACTATTCTAGTCACTGGATAGTAACCACCATTTTGCATAGTAGCGTGATGACTATCTACGCAGCTGAAATGTGACCTAAGTTTTTCGACATATGTAGCTCGAAATACGACCTATGTTGCCCCCACGATTACATTCATTGTCTGGCAATGACTGGGGATTGCATCGACGAAGGTTCTTTCGAAAACGCGGGCTGTAAAATATAGCAATTCGAAACCGGAGGACGTAAAGTGTTGACCTAAAGGGATTAAGGACTTACCAAAAGAAGAAAAAAATGGAGGGAGGATTAAAGAAAATTACAGGCTTAGTAATCCAGTTAGGGAATGCAACATGGAATTCGGAAGAAGATGGGCTGCACAATGGGCTGAAATTACGTGGCTTTCAATATGTAGTCCGTTCTTTTTCTTGAGCAAGTTTGTGGGGGAAAATTACCAAAAAAGTCTTAAACCTATTACAATTGTACCAATTCAGTTGTAAACCTTTTTTTTTTACTAATTCAGTCCTAAACCTTTTGCAATTGTGCCAATTCAGTTTATCCGGCCACTTTTGGTCTGCCGACGCTGATGTGGACGCTGGCCGGTCCCGGCCGTCCGACTGACGTTGACGTGGCAGTTTTTAAATATTTTTTTGAATTTTTATATTTTTTTCTCTCTTTTTTTTTTTCTATCTTCTTCCCCAGTCGCTGGTCTAGCGACGGGCGACGGGCGACCGGCTAGAGGCTGAGGCCGGTGAGGGCAAGGCTGGCCATTGCCGGCACGGGCATGGGCGAGCCTTGCCGTCGCCGGGCGAGGTAGTCTTGCCAGATCCACCCTCGCTGTCGGTGGGCGAGGTCGAGCCTCGCCATGGCCAGGCGAGCTCGACCTCGCCTGGCGACAGTGAGGCCGCCTAGATCTGGCGAGACCTCACCAGATCGACCCTTGTTGTCGATGGGTGAGGTCGAGCCCAGCGATGGTGAGGCTTGCCCACGCCAGTGCCGGTGAGGGCTAGCCTCGCCCATGGCCAGCGAGGTGCCTCGCCGGCCTCAACCTCTGGTCGATCGCCAGTACGGCGATCGGGGAAGAAGATAGGAAAAAAAAAAATAAGAAAGAGAGAAACAAAGTAAAAAAATTAGAAAATTTATTTTTAAAAATTTAAAAATTACCAAGTCAGCGTCGGCCGGACGGCTGGTGGCCACGTCAGCACCGGTCAGCCAAAAGTGGCCAAATGGATTGAATTTGCACAATTGCAAAATATTTAGGACTGAATTAGTAAAAAAAAATTTAGAACTGAATTGACACAATTATAATAGATTTAAGACTTTTTTGGTAGTTTTTCCCAAGTTTGTGTATTAAGGCAGCATTAAAAGTGCGGTATGAAAGACAATCATTATGGCCATTGGTTTTCGCCATGTGTTGGACGTTGATTGGTCCTTCATCCCACTGGTACAGATTTTCTTTTGTATATAGTAAAAAGTTGCGTAAGGCCAAGGGAGTCGAAAATTTGGGAATAAGCCAATGGAGTTGGGCCATGGTTTAAATGGGTTTTTCTGATATATCAGTTACTTGGTGCGATCAAACATTGTTATTAATTGCTAAAAAATTCCTTAAAACGCACTGAAAAAGTGAAAACTAGTTAAACCTGTTTTCGTATACTCTATACGATAAACATTCAAAACAAACGGTCACTCTCAACTCAAAGCTAGGGAAAATTGTCAAAAAAAAAAAAACATCGTAAACCTATTGTACGCGGCCAATTCAGGCCTAAATTTCTCCATTTTGTCAATTGATTTTTAAATATTTTGATGATTTGTCAATGTATTCCTTCCAGCAAATTTTGGCTGGAAATCACTGGCGTTGGCGTCGGCCGTCTTATGTGGCATGACCAGTGCTAGCGTGGACAATTTTTGAAAATTTTTTTAAAAATCGAAATTTTTTCTTTTTCTTTTTCTTTTATTTTTTTTCCATTTTCCTTGTGGCCGCGCGAGGGTCATGGGTCGAGGACCCCGCCCACTAGAAATTCGAAGGAAAAAAAGAAAAGAAAAGAAAAAGGAAAAATTAGAAAAGTTTCAGAATTTTTTTAAAATTTTGAAAAAGCATCCACTCAGCACTGATTGTATTGAACATCAATGATTTTCTGCCAATATTGGTAGCAAGAAGAATTATATTGGCAAATCGTCACAAAGTTTATGACTAAACTGGCTAAATTGAAAATTTTAGAACTAAATTGGTATCCATACAATAGGTTTATGAATTCTTTGGTAATTATCTTGCCAAAGCTAAATAGCATTTCCAAGAGAGGTCTCTTTTCTCAATTCCTTTTTTGCGGAAGGCAACTAGGTCTAGTTATATATATATAATAACTATAGAGATTGAGAATATCGATGGTATTTATAAAGAGTCAAGGAAGTAAGCTATAATTGACCACAAGAAAACATATAGAAATTCCAAGTGAGAACACCCCAATCACCAAATTGGTCATACCACGATACATAGGGTTAGTTGGTGGTTGTACAATTGGGTGCGCAACAAAATATTGTACCTAGTCAAAGTTGAGGAATTTACAAGTTTTAAGTTCTTACAAGAAGATGGACTACAATGTTCTTTGACAAATGAAGGGTCAAGCAAGAGATGGTGACTCTTCTCTTGTTCCCAAGTGTGTGTTAGATTGTGGGTGGGCAAGTGCGCAATGTGTCCCATGCATTGTGCTGTCGATAGGGAATATATAAACATGAAAATGTCACAAAAGTGCACTAATCGTACTTACATGTCCTATTACTTTTCTAGAAGACGTATACACGAGGGTTTCTTTTGCTTTAATTTAATCAATACCAAGAAAAAATTTAGCTTCTTAGAAAATTTTGACGTGTTAAGTCGTGTGGCTTTATCTTGAATCTTGATCTTAGCTCGTTTGATTCATACGGCTTTTGGTTGTTCTCCTGCGTTTTATCTTTTATTTGAGTCTTATGACTAGAAGATGTCTCCGTCAATGCACCCGTACGTCCTTTGCCGGCTATACTAACTACTAACTCCGTTGGGTTTAGGCCCTGAAGCGTTTTCGGCATTTGGAGAAAGTACTTCATGCAATTCTAGAGTCAAAATCATGTTGAGCCTCCTTAATCTCAGAGTGTCGATGAAAGGGCGCCTAGGCAAGCTATTTCCTTCTTTCCAAGGATCAATCATTTTTATTAGAGCAAGTTAATTATTTTTGTATCGAGCCCGCACAAGTTGTTAAGAGATAATCCGTATTACCTAATCAGACGTGCCCAAGCCCGCCTTGGACAGGTGTATATGTTACTTATGATACGTACATAAGACGTATTGATGTGAACATACGCAGTGCTCATCACAACACCTATAATTCACAGTTAAATTACACCAATCACATCTACTTGCAGATGCAGCATGTCAAACTCACAATACATGAAAGGCAAAACTTCTTGTTCTTTATACACTGTGTATATGTAGATTGGCTGAGCTGTAGCTCCAATATTAGCATAGTGTCAAATCTACCCACTATCATTTCTTTGAGTGCTCATCCAAAAGTCATCGCCTTTTAATGACGCACTTTATCAAACACTCGAAGCAATAACATTGAGATCCATTATGTTTTTGTGGCTCCAATAGTGTAGCTGGTAAGTGGAGCAACATTTGACAAATTCAAGAAATTCCGCACGAAAGTCATAGTTGGCCAAACCCCAATTCTAAAGTATGCCATGTTTTTCCATGTAAAATAACCCCCTAAGTATAGTGCCCCACACACATATACATAAATATTTATAGAAGAAATTTCCATGCAAAAACAAATGAAGGGTCGCCCATGTTGACTTGAAATATTCAAAAAGTCTTCACCTGCCATAACTTCGAAGTTGATTCCCTCTCTGCTGGATTTGCAATTATGGTGCAATCCTCGAAACAACTCCCGTTGAAATTGCTGGGTTCTCGAAATTTATTAAAGACATTGATAAATACCATCAATCACCTCCCCCATGTTTATTTATGCGTGATTTGGTGAGTGTCACATCTAGCTAAAGAGAGAGATGGATATTTGAATGGAGGAGATTCCATTGATCAACCAAAACCATGTGATTTGAAAAAGTATTACGAGGAAATTCATTCTAGAAGATCATTATCTTAGGTGAAGAATCCAAGCAAATAGTATTTCCTATTGAGTTGTCGATCGAAATCCTCGAACTTTCAAACCGCTTGTGACTCCAACTGGAAGAAATTGTTTGCTTGTTACCGTGACTTGATCGACCTAATCACGATATTGAAGGATGACGTAAATAAAGCGAGGGCATCGTACCCCAGAAACAATTTCAAGATTTGATACCAATACGTGATATGTGCATACTAACCCCCAAGATGATAATGAAGATCACTTTCTTGTGTTTATGTGGTTAGAATTAGGAGTGTGCAAAATGGACTGCCCAAATCGGGAATCGTTCAAACCTGATCAAACCCGGTTCATTCCAGTTCCCAATAGTGTTAGGGTGCGCATGAATACCATTCTGTGCCCGGGAGCTATTTCTGAATAGAAATGATTTTTTTTTATTTTGTGCCCGGAAACAATTTCTGAGTATTTGAAGGCGTTTGATAAACTGTCCAAAATTTCTATTCCTAGAGTAGAAAAGAACAGAAATGCGTTTGGTAACTACACAAAATTTCTGTTCCCAAATAATATTTTGAATTGTTAAATTTTTTTTTTTTTACCCATTTTCTTCTTTGGCCATGACCGGTCGCCGGCGACCAGCGACCGGCCACAGCCCAGGGCCGGCGAGGGCGTCACGGCCCTCGCCGGCGGAGGCGAGGTCGCGCCTCGCCGGCGAGGGCGAGGGCGAGGGCGAGGCCGGACCCTCGCCGCGGGCGAGCGGCCTCGCCCGAGATTGCGAGGCTCGACCTCGCCCGGATCCTGGCAAGGCCGAGCCTCGCCGTCGCCATGGGTCGCGACGGCGAGGCTCGGCCTCGCCAGATCCGGGCGAGGTCGAGCCTCGCCGTCTCCGGGCGAGGCCGCCGCCCGGCGGCGAGGGTCTAGCCCTCGCCCGAGACGGCCGAGCCTCGCCGTCGGTCGCGACGGCGAGGTCGGCCTCGCCCGGAGATGGCGAGGCTCGCCTCGCCCAGGATCTGGCGAGGCCGAGCCTCGCCGTCGCGACCCACGGCGAGGTCGGCTTCGCCGTGGGTTGCTACGGCGAGGCTCGGCCTCGCCAGGATTTGGGCGAGGCCGAGCCTCGCCTGCTTTGGGCGAGGCCGACCTCGCCGTCGCGACGGACGGCGAGGCTCGGCCTCGCTCAACTGGGCGAGGCCGCCTCGCCCAGGCGGCGAGGGTCCAGCCCTCGCCCTCGCCGGCCCCGGGTGTGGGCCGGTCAGCCGCCGCCGTGCCGGGTCGCGGCGGCTCGGCCAAATGGGAAGAACAACACCACAAAATAAGAAAAGAAAAAAAAGAAAAAGAAGAAAAAAAACTGATTCTCAAAATTGTGCCGAGAAACAAGAAGCAACTTTTTTTTACTTCTTGTTTCTCTTCCAAAACTGTTTCTCGGCACAAATTTTTGTAAAAATGTGCTCAAGAACAAAAAGTTTACCAAACGCATTTCTGTTCCTAAACTATTTCTGGGAACAAAAGAACAGAAATTTTCACTATTTGGCACGTTACCAAACGGGCCCTTAGTCTAGTTCTCGATTCCTAAAAGTGGAACTGGAACAGGCAGTCTGATTTCCAGTTCCAAGGGGGAACCAGACCGAATTGGATTGACTACATATACTTTTTTTTTTTAAATTTTTTTAGTTCTTCGAAAAAATTAGTAAAATGTGAACTAAACCCTAAGTGAATTTCATTGACATAAATTCATTGACAAAAATTAGTAAAATGTGAACTAAACCATAAGTGAACTTCATTGATATAAATTCATTGACAAAATTAGTAAAATGTGAACTAAAACCTAAGTGACCGGTTCTATTGGACTGGACCGGCAGTCCGATCTGGTTCTCGGTCCTAGGACCAACCGGCCGGTCCGGTCTCCTGTTCCCGGTTCCACCTTAGAATCGGACCGGATCAAGAATCGATCACCCCTAGTTAGAATTTGTATCAAGGCATTTTAAAATAGATCCTATAGGTATTGACCATAAATGTCTTCATCATTCAATCAAATTAAGCGCATATAATGACTATGATTGAATTTGATTGTAAGGACTCAACTAAGTTAAAAAATTAATTTAAATTTGTTGAATAATGAAGTTGTTACTTCATTTTTCAATTGAATATGGGGCTTCTAGATAGGCATTAAAATCTTGTTTAATTGTATTGCTAAAAAGTCTAAAACCTACCAATAGCTATTCACCACATTCCGTGTTTAAGTAAGAATCTAAGATTATTGATACTCCGTATAGCTATTCTTTAACAGTATCTCATTTCCAATTCCAGCATCTAAGATTATTACCACTTAAAATTCATACTTAAATTTGCAAAATTTACTTTCCATTTTATTGAACGGTCCCCAGATCTTAAATCTAGTGTCCTATTCAATCATATTTCCTTGATTATAATCCAAGTTTTGATCACAATTCTTGAAGAGGAATATGGTCATGCTTAAGCTTAGATCTAGAACCAATTGATGTCCCATTGGACCAGATAAAAGTACTAGACCACGTCCTTAAAAGTGGGAAAATGGAATTGACCGGTTAAGTAATGAGCAAATTAAGTTCTTTTTCCTCTTTTTGGAAAGTAAATTATGAAAATTTTTGGGGGTATAGAATCTATAGATACACACCCGCAATGATAATAGCAAAGAACATACAGAATCTTGTTGAGCCCTGTCCGGTTTTGGCCATTCTAATGTCATGTAAAAATTTCTCCTTTACTAACATAAGATTTGACAGCAAAGTGGGCCTCTTTTTCTTGCTATGATTTGGACAGAAGACGTCCTTAGTGTTGGGTATCAAGAAACGTGTCTGATGCGGCAGTAGGAATTGAGGAACGTTTTGAATAAGATGAAAGCAGAATAACGATATTAAGGGCACAGTACGTAATATTAATTTACAAAATGATGCGATGGACTTTATTTGATCAATAGTTAAGTAAATGGGGATATGTTCGAGCATCTTGCATTGATTTTGTAAATTGAATTTTTTTATTTTACTTGTAGAATTATATGGCGACAAATGCGTTTTCAAGTATTATTTTGAGGATTGAGATCCTTTATAATTGTAGGATAAATGAACATCTAGATGTCCCGGATATACGAAAAGACTTCCACTCCGGTGAAAAAAGACTCGGAATTCTTTAATCTCTCTCTCCCTCCCTCCCCCTCTGCCTTCATCTATGTGCATCGGTCTCCGCCACAGGTCGTATCACCATCGCGCGGCGTAGCCTTGCCGTTTGCTCTCTGCCCCCGCCGGTGAACCACCACGAGCGACCCCGCGGACGGCGCCCCCCTCACGGGGAGATCCTCTCTCCCTCGGTAATGATCAAAGTCAGAATGCATTCAAACATTAGAATATGTGAAAAACGAAAGAGCATTGCCAACGAGCGCAAGTGATGCATGACCAGAAAGGACAGACGGGTTGGGTGGGCTAACCGATGATATGCGGCTCGTATGACCGGGTCGCATTCACATCAGCAGGAACGAGCACGAGAACGAGAACTAACAGGTAAAACTGAGACTCTTGGGCACAGAACAGAAGACAGGAAAGAAAGGAAAAAACAAAGACAACCTCAGTTCAGCCAAGAAGAAAAACACAAGATTAGCGTTGACTGTGTCCGGGTCGCACGAGTCAGTTTGGTCTAAACATCGGAACGGTGCGACGTGAAGGGGAGAAAAAGGAACGCGCAAAGGGGGAGCCTTCAGAATTGCTAAACAGAACCAGAGCTTTTCAATCTTTTGATTGAACCCCGAACCAAAATCCTCCTCCTTTCCAACAGCTCAGGGCTTTTCTCTTTTACATGAACAATTACGCAGGAAAACAGAGCGACGATGGCGACAGCCTTGGAGTCTTTGGTCTCTTGAGAGAGAGAGAGAGAGAGAGAGAGAGGGAGGGTGTTTGACTGAGTACACAGACGGCAAAGCCGTCCAACACTATAAAGAAATGCACAACCAAAAGCCGTATTTTTTATAGGAACCCACGGACACAACACGCCTTCATAATACTATTATGAATGCGCGTTGAACGATCAAACCAAATCCCCATCAATCCCGTTCGTCCCCTCTTGGCAGGCGGTACTAAATACCTTCCCTCTTTTACTTTTTTTGTGCTCCATATCCCTCTATCTCCATCTTTTGCTAAGCAAAGATTGGATTTTTATCACAGTCAAAAATTCTTTTCACGTCTGTATATAGAGGGTCCTTCTGTTCGGCGACAAGTTGTTGTTGGTCTTTCCGTTTGGTGGTATAGTTGGTGAATTGGTATTGGGCGTGGCTTTAGCGTTTTTCTTCTTTTATCAATTCTTTGCTCATATTCAAACAAGGAGAAGAAGCTTCCTCTTTTGTTGCCGATGGGTAATTTCCTGCTGGGCGAATACGACTACTCTGTTCGTTCTTTGTCCGTTTCGTGAGTCCTCTTTATGGACGCAGAAAGGGATTGGAGCTCTTGAGAATTGTGAGATGGGTATTGGGTGTTGAGCGAATTCTGTGAAGATCAATTCCTTTTGGAGTGATTTGTTGATTGTTGCAACATGGGGTGCATGTATTCTAAGAGTTCAGCGGTTGATGACAGCGGAGAGGGTGCCAAAGATAGAGTATCGTCTAGTAGGCGATTATCAGAACCGAAAACTTCAAGATTGGATTCATCGAAGAGAGAGAATGGGTTCAGGGCAAGAGATAAGGTGGGTGATGTGAATGTTATGTTGATCGATAAGAAAGTGAACGGGTCTGCCAGGTTGTATGATGATCAGATTGAGAAGAAAATCGACCATATTCAGAAGCAGAGGAGAGAGAGAGCAGAAGCAGCTGTGGCGGCTAATCACCCAGGGGCCGGTCGGGTCGTGAAGGCGGTCGAGGGCGAGCAGGTGGCAGCCGGGTGGCCGGTGTGGCTGTCTGCGGTGGCGGGAGAGGCCATCAAGGGATGGCTTCCGCGACGTGCCGACACTTTTCAGAAGCTGGACAAAGTATGTTCAATTCTTGATCATGTGGTTGTCGATTATCTTATGTTTGTTCTTTTATTTTCGTTTGATTTGTTCGTCATGTTATGAGTTTAATCGTCTTCATTTGGTCGACTTTGGAGGAAAAAACAATGATTTTGATAGATACGCATAAAGTTCGATGAGCATCCAGGCACCTATTTCTTCTTGAAAGAGTTCTTCCTAAAATGATGACCAAATATCAGCAATAACGAAGTTACTGTATAACACTATTCTTCAGCATCTGATCTATTGTGACCTGGTTTGTTTATGACATGATCTGCCTGTTACAGATTGGCCAAGGAACTTACAGTAGCGTGTACAGGGCACGAGATGTCATTAACAACAAAATTGTGGCTCTGAAAAGAGTGCGGTTCGATAATCTCGATGCTGAGAGTGTCAAGTTCATGGCGAGGGAAATCCACATCTTGCGTATGCTTGATCATCCTAATGTTATAAAGCTGGAAGGCTTGATAACTTCAAGGATGTCCTGTAGCCTGTACCTTGTTTTCGAGTACATGGAGCACGATCTTACAGGACTTGCGTCGCGGCCTGGCGTAAAATTTCCGGAGCCACAGGTACTTATATGATGGGTTTGATACGAGCTTTGGTACTTGAATAAGTCACTCATAAAGCTGATGAAAGAAATTTTTTTGGTGTAACGGGCTACCTCATATTTTAACTCTTGTCCATAATCATTGCAGATCAAATGTTACATGAAGCAGCTTCTAAGTGGTCTTGATCATTGTCATAAACATGGGATCCTACACCGGGACATAAAGGGCTCAAATCTTCTCATTGACAACAATGGCATCTTGAAGATTGCGGATTTTGGTTTAGCCAGCATCTTTGATCCTCATCAGACTGCTCCACTGACAAGCCGGGTGGTAACTTTATGGTACCGACCACCTGAACTTTTGCTTGGAGCTTCTCGCTATGGAGTCGAGGTGGACTTGTGGAGCACCGGCTGTATACTCGGTGAACTCTATACTGGCAAGCCTATATTGCCAGGGAAAACTGAGGTATTTTATTCTAGAATCTCTCAATGCGCATAAATGTTTGGAGTTTAAAGATGTATCCTTTATATACACATACCTATGTGGATTGCTCTAGGAAATTAGTCTTGAATTTTGGTGATAGACGTAACTCTAACGAGCATTTTCTTGTGCTTGTCTGTTATTTTTTAGGACAATGTGCTCTCTGCCTTTCTTGTTGAGTTTTTTGTGTGCATGTGTAATTTGTGCCAATTACTTCATACATAGTTTTATTTTCTAGGTGGAGCAACTGCATAAAATTTTTAAGCTTTGCGGTTCACCTTCTGATGATTATTGGAGAAGATTGCATCTTCCGCATGCAGCTGTTTTCAAGCCTCCACAACCTTATCGACGATGTGTTGCGGAGATATTTAAAGAACTCCCTCCAGCTGCTTTGGGTCTCTTAGAGACCTTAATCTCTGTAGATCCTTCACAAAGAGGGACAGCAGCTTTTGCTCTCAGGAGTGAGGTATTCAGATTTTCTAGTTCGAGCAGGACAACTGATTAGCCATTTAAGAGATTAGGCTCTGTGGAAAAACTTTTACCATCTGTTGAAACGTTAAGCCATGTTTGACACCTCGACTTCTTCTTAATCTTTTACAGTTCTTTACAACAAGTCCCCTTCCTTGTGATCCTTCAAGTCTGCCCAAATATCCACCAAGCAAGGAAATTGACATGAAACTGCGGGAAGAGGAAGCAAGAAGGTATGTCTTACTTGATTTCAGGAAAAAATCGCTTAAATGACCTGATAACATATGTGCTTCTGCTTATTGTTGTGGTATAGCCTGAATAAGCTCTCCTAGTTTGGAGTTATGGCCTGTCTCATCCTTGTTTCCTCTATGCATCAGTATATTTTGCTTGTAATCCCAGTTAAATACGTAATTTTCACTGTTTGCGGTGCTTGTAAGTTGACCATTTGACAATGCAGGAATGGAGCGGCTAGAGGAAAGAACGAGCTTGAAAAGAAGGGAACAAAAGATTCACGAACGAATTCTGCATCATATTATACTAATGCAGAACAAATGCAGGTAGCTTACACGATTCATATCTATGAGTTTCAGCATTCATTGACCTTTCTTTTTGTAATAGACATTGGCTCCTAGTTATTCCAAGGTAAACGTGAAAGCAATGAGGATGATTCCATGGCTTGATGACATGCAAGGAAATTTTTAGTTTAAGGCATTCGTGTCAAACTTATATTTTATGCTGTAATATCTGAGACCTGCCAGATATTGCACTTGCTGCTATTCTTCCAATTTGGCATCATATTATTGTTATTGTTAATAATCACCATCCATTCTAAATTACCCATGCTTGCCGAAAACCTCTGTATCTGGCCAGCGTGATTGCAATAGATACCTTGATTTCATGCCGAGACATCAGTAGCATTGTAAGGCCACCAATGTGAATTTACAGCATAATGAGCGGTATAGTGTTATACAAGAACCCAAGTGTTTCTTTTTAAGATATAAAAGTAGCCGGAGATTATTAAGTAGGGATGTTGTGTTCTGACATTCTGACAAATTTCTTGATGAAAACTTAAGATCAACGACTCAATGCCCACTGTCCTGGGGGCAATTGCCACGAGCTCTTTATGCCATGGATCAATAGTTCGCATTGTCACATCAGATGATATTAACAGATTAAAAGTTTTCCTTTGGAATTCATACACACTCGTAATCTTTGTCTAAAGGATATGCATTTGTAAGACAATTCAAAGGAGGTTTGGTCAGTTCACCTGTCGGCACTTTGTTTTCTTTTCACTGTTCTGATAATTCTGATGCAAGAACTAATCTACTTACCCCAATAGCGGAAATGTGGAAAGAGAGTTCTATTTGTATTTTTGGCAAAGCTTGTTCTGTCATTTTGTAACATAAAATGATATTTTGCAGGTCAAACAAGGCCATTCCAATTCAAATAGCCGAAGTGAAATTTTCGGCTCTCGTCAAGAGAAAACTGTGTCCGGGTTCTTGGTTGCGCCCCCTAAACAGGCACGAGTTTCCAAGGAAACAAGAAAAGATTACGCGGAGCAGCCAAATAGAGCTTCATACTCAGGACCGCTAGTTCCAGGTCCCGGATTCTCCAAGGCAGGAAAAGAACTCGACCATTCCATCACTGTCTCGAGAAACACCAATTTATCGACATTATCGAGTTTAGTCGCTAGTAGAACTGCTCTGGCCGGAGATGACAAACAGAAATCCGGTCCTTTAGTGTCAGAATCAGCGATCCAAGCAAGCAGATTTTCAGGACCCATAAGGGAGATGGACCCTGTGAGGAAGCAGGATTGTAGGAGTCATATGCGCACGAATATTGATTCTCGTTCAAGAGAAGATGGAAATGCCAGTACCAAAGAACCTGCTCTGGTTAGTTCTCACAGCAACCTCTCTCTCAGTTTTGCATCTAATCTTCCTTGGCGGTACTTTGTCATGGTATCCTTTGGTGATTTGGAGAGCAATTCTGTGCTCGCTTTTACGTGCCATAAGGTCATTATAACCCGGGGCTGCTGATGGAAATTGCATTTTAGTCAGTGTTTTCTTTAGTATTATGTTTGTTGCCACTTCGCATTAATCTAGTTTCCAAATGTGCGAACTCGATCGTCTGATAAGATTTTTTTTGTTTCTCTCTTTTCCTTCAGTACGGTCGCGGGGCTGGAGGAAACAAGATCTACGTCTCGGGCCCATTGCTCGTCTCATCAAACAATGTGGATCAGATGCTCAAAGAGCACGACCGCCGGATTCAAGAATATGCCAGAAGGGCACGGCTCGATAAGACGAGAGCAGGCAAGGATCATCCCCAAGCGACCGTCGACTCTAAGCTTGTGTCCGTGCATGATGCCGGGTAGATTCACTGTGTAGAGCTATTGAATGCCAGATACCTTCAAAGCCGGGCAAGCTTGCCTGCCTGCCCATGCGAAGGGAAGCGCAAACAGAGTGCTCGCAGCGTAGCTCATCTTCCGGTTTGGAATTTTATCTCATATTGTACAGTCGGCAGCTTTCTCCGCTCATTCTTAATTTTATGTTCGTGGTGGCGAGGTATGATCTCTTGTAAGGGAGAGTCCGCCGCGATTTAGTACACTATGTAATACACAGTTTACGACAGGAAATAGCAGAATTAGAATAAGGTCGATCCAGAAACCGATTTGTTCTGAACGTTGCGCCGTGCGCGCGTGTGGGGCAAGCGCGCTCGTGACCAGTGTCGAGATGGAAATGCATCGCATTCTCACTTGAGAACGGCCTCCGGCTTTAGGCGGTTTGCTTGGTGAGCACAGGAAAATGTTCTCAACCGTTTGAGGACGGTCTAGCGGTCCGGCGTCGGGCACGTGCTTTCGAAGTGGAATGGTCGCATCGCACATGTTCGGTTCATAGTATGTTAGGATATCGAACACATTATTCAAAATGAAAAAAAGTAAACATTTTCTCACTAGTCATCTTGTATTTATGTTAGGATATCAAACACAAGATTCAAGAATTTCCATAATTCATAATGAATTACAATGAATTTGTCATTTAATGTGTGTGTGTGTTTTTTTTTTAAATTTCTCCTTCAATCTTGATTCACCCCATCTTTGATCACTTTGCACTCAAAGCAAGACACAAGTTGGGTCAACATCATCCTCAAATTCAGAGTTGCCTCCCCCCAATCAAGAAATGGGTCACCTTATATCGATTTTATTTTTTAAATTCTTCCCTTAATTTCCCAGATGTTATTATTGTCGTCTGATCAATGTGGAGACAGCTAGTAGTGACAGGGGACATCACAATATAGAATATTCTATTAAAATTTAATGGAAAAGTTGGCCCCAACGATTATTCCCACTTTTGACTATTTTGCTTTTCCGTGAAATAATGGGTGTCTGCCGTGTTGTTGTCGCCGCACGGTTTTGAGGGAGACTTTTTTGGGGAGATTCTGCCCAAAATTCAAAGCAACAACAAATAATAATGGCGATTATTTAAAATAAATTATTTATCATATGGTTTGGTGTTTGGAGATAAAAGTAAGTAAAGCCAATCATGGACGCCATCTTGGACTAATGTGCTTCTCACGTCATGGGGGTAGGGACATTCTCATCTACTCCCCCCATTATGGTTTTTTTTTTTTGAATTTTTTTTCCATTTTTTTTTTAGACCTTATGATATTTATTTTGCGCACTTTGGTGATTTACATTTTTGCCCATTTCTAGAAGTGTGATGTTGTGTTTGAATTTGGAAAGGAGGAGGAATTTGATTAAATGAAAATTTGAAGACGTCAATTGCATTTTCGAGCGAGGACCAGGGTGGTTCAAAAGTCAGCATGTTAGGGTGGGGCCTCCCCTAGGTGGCATTTGCCAACTAGCTATTATATTTTGGGTCCTTATCTTTTCCCCCCCAAAGCAATTGCCGTTCAAACTTGTTAACCATTAGAAGACAGCCAAATAAATAAAAAAAAGAAAATCATAGATAGAGAGAGCAAACTAGGCGCGTGGCATTGACTTTGACCAAGTATTAGGGATGCGATTCTCACCGGCCATTGATGTGGGCCAAGCCACCCTTGCCGTTAGGGGTGATCGGTTCCAGGGTGGGTCCGTTCCCACCGTAGAATCTGGAACTGGATCGGAAAAGGTTGGTTCCCATTTTGTGAAACGGAGAATCAGCCTATGTGGTCCTAGAACAGGACTAGATTGGACCAATCGGCTCGGTTCGGTTCTAGGGTTGATCTCGGAACTGGTGATTTCTTCTCTCTCTTTTTTTTTTTTGGTTTATTCTATTCCCTACAATTGAGAATTTCACAACATTAAAAGAAATTTTTGTTACTAATTAAGGTTTGCTTCAAAATAATAAAAAAATAAGAAATCTTAATCGGTTTGGTTCCTTATGTGGAACTAGGAACTGAGAATCGTAACTGTTATTCCCGATTCCAATTTTTTGAAACTGGGAACTGAACCGGTCCCATTGGCAACCCCCCAAAAACTAGCCGGTTTGATCCAGTCCGGTCTGGTTTCCCGGTTGGACCGGGATCGGTGCACACACCTACTTGCCGTGGTCGCAAGGAGTGGTTTCAATACCTTTTCCTTTTGCTTTTTGTTATTTTAATCCGGTGCCAAATATGATCTACTCTACAATGAATGCGTGCTGTGTAGGTGGTCCTTTTTTTTTGGCTTGGTAGCTTCATTTTGGTATGTATTTTACCATCCATTAGAACTTAAGAATGTAAGAGAAGTAAACAAAACCGTGCGTTTGTTGGGCTGAAACACTTAGTTTGGCCCAAAATGAAGAGCATTTTAGGTTCATACCCACATAAAATTGAACGAAATCCAACTGTGTCAATTTTGGGCTTTCAATCGTTCGTTTCTGTCCGTCACTTCAAGCCTGGTCCAATCACTGAAGTCTGAATTTCATTCTTTGGGAGTTAACAGCAAATCTGAGAGGATAGAGCAAAAAGCCCAACACACCAACTTCGAAAGTCAAGTCGACCCACTCTGTTTTCATCCTTCATCTGTTCTTCTAGCCATGAATGAAATCATGAATCACAGCTGTTAATGGCGTTAACAGGGACGAGAGTGGATGCAGAGCCCAAGAGAAAGTCCAAACGGCATCACCTTTCGCGAAAATCCGGGTTATACACCGCCTCACTCGTGCACTGACTCGATTCGGGACTTGCCTGCGGCTGGCCTGCTTTCATTTTTCATTAGTGAAATCTTAAGACTTAGATGATATGCTGCTTTGCTGTTTGAGAGAGAAAAAGGAACTGCTCCTACCTTTTTAAATTAACTTTAGGGAGGTGTAACCATGTCCCAGTGTACATATTAATTAAATTGTTGATAAAGTTAGACATTAATTTCCTTTTTGTACCAATAATCTATGCTATTAAGTATTGACTGAATGATTTGGCAATAAACCTCTCCTGGTTAAGATGAAAAATATATTTCACCTTGAACTCTAATGACTTAAACTTTTAGAGTAAACGGATGACCAAGTAATTTTTAAGTTGGTGTTAGAGCCAGAGATCTCAAGTTTGATTTCTCACACTTATTTAATGAGTTTCCTTTTCATTATGGGCGATTGGGGTTTCAAAAAGTCTTTTCGCTCACACTCATGGAGTTTGCACGCCATATAATATAATCCCCTCCGCACTGCACTCGAAAGACTTAAGTCTATGAAGTAATGATTGCGCACGTAACTTTGAGTTCTCTCACGTGTAAATCTAGAAGCCCCTCTTGCCTCATCTCAGTCTACCATAATATTTTTTTTTTTGCTAAATCGAACCTTCCATTGCATCAGAAAAGTACAATATTACACAGAAGAGTTAGAGTCTACATCAACACGATAAATTAAAGAAGACTCCGCTAACACTAAGTTTTTGGCTCTAGGTGGGAGATCATTAAAAAAGAAAGATGAAGCATTTCCTAAATGATAAAAAGCCCATTTTGCAAGCTCATGAGCAGCAACATTACTAGATCTGTTGATCCACTTGAAACTCCATTCTGGGTTGTTGCTGAGAAGTAAGCGAGTGTCCGAGACGAAAGGATGAATACACCAAGGACAAATGCCCTTTTGTTGAATAGCATCAATTAACACCTTACAATCACTTTCAAAAACCGCTTTGTGGATGCCGAGGGATTGAGCAGCTTTGCATGCGAGAAGAAGAGCTGCAGCTTCCACTTCCACTGGCGAGTTCCATCTTCCTTGTCTTGTCCACGCTTGGACAGCTGAGCCTCTATACGATCGTGCAACAATACCTATGGCACCTCTGTTATCTTTCCACTCACCATCTACATTAAATTTCAACTCTTGGTTTGATGGAGGAATCCAAGAGTTTGATCTTACCCCAATAAAATCCGGTTTCTCGCTTAACCTAACTTTGTCCTCCCTCTTGAACATATTTGAATATTCCAAGAAATCTTGTATGATCATCTGAATCGCGTGGGAAGGCACTGGAATAGTCTGATCATGGAGCTTTACATTCCTGTAACGCCACATTATAGTGCAAAGAATTGCTGCATTAAGGGTGAAGAGCTTGCAATCCACTCCCGTTGTCTGTGCTATTTTTCCTGGATCAAGAAAGTGATTCACCATCTCTTTCGGAGACCTGAAGTTCCAAGCAGAAGAGATAATACCCCATGGGCTTTGTCTCCGCAAAATTTGGGTTAGAGGACATCTTGTGAACAAATGTACTAAATTTTCCTCCGAAGCTTCACACAACGGGCAAGAAGGGTCTGGGATATGGATCAATTGAAACAAGTTAGCTCGGTAAAACGTTAGACACTATTCTCCACAACATCATTTTGTGTCGCTCATGAGCTCTAGCTTTCCAGATTTTGTTCCAAATCCCACTATTGTTACCATTTTCATTTTGCAACTTTATGAGTTTGTAAGCAGATTTAACAGAAAACACTCCATCGATAGCTGGATGCCAAATCAGTTTGTCTACCCCAATGGAGTTTGACACATGGATCTGAAGGATGGCTTATACTGAGGTTGGGCAAAATGTCTGATTTAGACTTAATACATCCCAAGTTTTTGTCCCATGGGATAAAGAAGCTTTCTATCTTTCTGTGCTTCAAAGCAGGGTCTGGATCAATAAAAGAAGGCATATGAGTTGAGACATTAGGAATCTAGGGGTAATTTCCGACCTCGATCGACTTTCCATCCTCTATTTGATATAGAGTTCCCAGATTAAGTATTTCTCTGGTATCTATTATTGCCTTCCACAGAGGAGAGGCTGATGCCTTGACCTTGTGATTCCAGAAATTTGAGGTTTGCAGATATTTCCCTTCAAGTACTCGAACCCATAACTTAAGCCCCTGACATTGCATGAAACATTAAACGCACACTAAATTTCAGAAAAAAAACCATTTAACTTAATTGATAATTCACGGATCATAACCAACAAGTTGTTATCTTAGATTATCATAGCGTTTGCTCCTCCCGTTGTGGTCTTGGGTTGAAGCCTTGTCAGGATCACTCTAGGAGTAAAATCGCAAATACATTGGGCCGATGTGGAGGAATGTGCTCTTAAAATTGCCCGACGAGGTGGACTAGTCGAGGTTCATGTAAGTTGGCCAAGACACAACTTCACCACTAAATCAAAAAAAAAGAAAATGAATCGTGAAGTATGCGCCTTAACAGAAAAATACGTTAAAAATTCTAAATCTGTA